CCTTAACATCAATTAACTAATAGGTATATCTTAGAGTTCTTCTAAATACCGTTTAACAATACAAATCGTTTAATAATTATCAATATATTCATTACTCTCATGGCTGAATCATCAATAATCATTTTGATCAGTTAGTTCATTATTCATGATCATCCATAATAATCATTCATCATAATCATTAATCAACATAACAATTGATAACAAATAGCGGTCTAGTTTTGAGTGTTAACACTCTAACTTACCGTCATGCATCACATAATGTTTTATATGCCTAAAACATCATTTTTATTATACAAAATCATATTTGTACTGTTCATAATTAATTGTTATCAAAAATAGGATTTTAGAGCATATTTTCAGGAATATTTTCGTAGCAGGATCTGGAATTGAGCAAAATAATTTAAAATAATCATTTAATTTATAAAAATTGATTTATATAATTTTAAATAATCCATGAATTCATAATAATCGATTTTTACAATTTAAATAATCAATTAATTCATTATAATCAATTTTTACAATTTAAATAATCAATTAATTAATTTTAATCGATTTTTACAATATAAATAATCGATTAATTCATAAAAAATCGATTTTTACAATTTAAATAATCCATTAATTCATAATAATCGATTTTTATAATTTAAATAATAAATTATTTCATAATAATCGATTTTTACTATTTAAATAATCAATTAATTAATTTTAATCGATTTTTACAATATAAATAATCGATTAATTCATAAAAAATAGATTTTTATAATTTAAATAATCCATTAATGCATAATAATAGATTTTTACAGTTTAAATAATCAATTAATTCATAATAATCGATTTTTACAATTTAAACAATCAATTAATTAATTTTAATCGATTTTTACAATATAAATAATCGATTAATTCATAAAAAATCGATTTTTATAATTTAAATATTCCATTCATTCATAATAATCGATTTTTACAATTTAAATAATCAATTAATTCATAATAATCGATTTTTACAATATAAATAATCAATTAATTCATAATAATCGATTTTTACAACACAAATAATTGATTAAATGGTTTTGACTTCGAACCACTGATCTGAATAAAATTTTAATCGATTTTTAGTAAGTAAATAATCGATTTTTGGCCACTGTTCTTCATCTTCTTCCTCGGTTCAGTTTTAACATTATCATTTTTAATCACCAAACTTCAATTTAATTATATAAAAATGTTTTCCAATGTTCACAGATCATTTTAGAGTCATTAATTCGTAATTTTAACAACAATTTAATTGTTTATGATTCTTGGTTATTCAAACATGTCAAACTCAAAACTCAACCAAACGACCGTTTATGAACGTAGAAACAATCTATATGAACATTCTAGTCACTAGATATATCTACGGGCTTACCTCGAAGCTTAACGGAGGTTTTGGAAATTTTCCGGCGAAACTTCCGGCGATGATTACTCCCCACTCCGGCGACTTCGGCGGCAACCAACAACACCAGACTGCTCCCTTCACTCTTATGAACACAATGGTATAATTTTCCAGAACATTGGTGCCAAATTGATAA